ATGTGTACTAAATCAGGATGTGCGCTAACGGAACCCTCTCCACGTTGCACACACGCACTCTCAGAAAGAATTTTTAATATCGAGAAAAAAAAATATTCTTGACGTACTCAATCTTAGCTCAGCTGTATAAAATATAAAATTATAATTGTATTAAGATTGTATCAATAATTTTTATTCTACTTCCTCGAATAAAATAAAATCGATATCTTGTCTTGAGACGAGTATAACACATAAATTTAGGTTGATATATTCTTTATATTGATTTTATTTATATTCTTACGTTTAGAATATATCCATATCTAATGTTATATACGTGATGCTAATAGCATCATGACAGCGAAGCTCTCGTAGTGTAACTACGCTAGATGAGAGACACACAAAACGAGAGATCCTGAATCCGAGTCTCGGCCGAGCCCAGTTTTTCGTTACTGAAAAATGTAAAATTACTAACATTCTGCAGACTTCTTTCCGTAAAAATGGAATAAGAGATTTCTTTTAGATTGATGTTTAATGTTAAATGTTGTGTTTAACCTAAATTTTTTTGTTAAGAAAATTAATGGAATAGACACATCCATTCAAGAATATTTTATTCCAGATTAAAAAATTTTTCATTTAAGAAGAAAATATTTTTTTTGAAGAATAAATACGATTGGCTCTATATCTTATTTTATTCTAGATCAAGGAGTAATAGCATTGGATATGGAAATCTTTTCTGTGGGTGCGATCATATTATTCACGTAAAATAAAAGAACTATATTACGGTCGTGTGTGCAATGCAGTGTGTATACAATATGATCGTGTGTGTAATGTGCTGTATGCAATATTGTGTGTTCAATGCGCTATGCGTAATACGGTCGTATGTGCTGTGTGCAAACGAAGTTGTAGAAAATAATTTTGTAATCAAACGGAACCCTTCTCTCTCTCTCTCTCTCTCTCTCTCTCTCTCTCTGTATTCTTGTATTTGAAAAAAGTCATTTTTTAATTAAACAGCTCTTTTTCTCTCACACACACACGCACGCGCGCGCGCGCGCGCGCGCACACACACACACACAAGTCGATTCTAAAAGCTGCCTGAAGATCATGACCTCCATTTGATGCAACTACTTGAACTTCACACGTATGAAGCGTTTCCATTGGCGGTTTCTGTCACAGCCTCATGCTCTTTTTCCTTGACATTGCTAACGTTCCAATGATTACCAATTTTTCAAGAATATTATTGCCGCGCTTGTGTAACTTCATGGTCGAAGTAGAATAGTATATACGTTGACGACATATAATAGGATAGTCGATCTTTTTATTTCAAACTCTCAAAGAATGGATGTATTGGTATGTCTAGCGGTCCATAGAATCTGCAACATTCCAACGTCACATTTCAAACGCGTCAATCCTCTGACTCTCCTTCTATAAAAAAATATGGAAAAAAACCAGAACAAGAGGAATTTTCATCCTGCTCGAGGTCTTCCGGTTTTCTAGATGTTCACAAGCCTCATCATCACATCTTTGACCATGGAGATTCTTTGCTTTGTCGCATCTTCCATCTTTGCATATTACCAATCCCGGATAATAAAATCCACAATCTCTATGTCTCGAATAGTGTCGGGATTACCAGCTCGGACATACATGAGCTTGATCTTACTCTTTGTTAATAGTAAACCCCATTTCCTTACTCTCGATTTTAAGCATTAGTTTGTTCATGTGTTCCACGATATTATGAATATTACAGTTAGTTAGACGTATCGCAGATTGCTCATTCTTTTTGCTCATTAAAGGTAAATCCTTTCTGATCGTTCAGTGCCTTATAAACATGATGTATTCTCCAGATATTAAAGAGGCGAGAATATATGTATATCTCTGGTAAATATAATTATTTAGAAAAAAATACTTTTACAGTTACAATTCCCTCTTTCTTTTAATAAACTGAAATGATTATTAGTCGGTTGAGTATAAAACATTTCTAATATGACGTTGCAGAGGGAAAGTCTATCAATCATTCGATTCTTTTTACTAGCCTTCTCGAGAAAGAAAGACGAAGTGGCCTATAATCTATAAATAGGTTTTCCCCGCTACTTTATCTTAATGTGCGTCGATAGATTCAGTTGGACCTTGAATGCGGACCACACGTTCTATAATAATCTTCAATAAAAAAAGAGAAGAAGGAGGAGGAAAAGATAATGGCTTTAACGAAATGCAGATCGAGTATCATATCAATCAAATCGAGCGAATAGTTCTCAAAAGAGATCTGTGATCTGATATTAAACAAATGTTTATCGCGCTAATTAAATTAATGCATACCGCATATGCAATGTCCTATAATAATTAAAAGATCTTTTTTTATAATTAAAAGAATCATACTTACGTCCTACCAATTTTACTAATAAAAAATTGATTTTCCATTTCGAAAAATACACTTTCAAGTTTTGCGACGTTGATTGGGAAAACTTGTTACACTTGTGTTACACTAACTTGTGTAACTGTTTGAAATTGATAGTGCCTTTTATAAATAAATTTTGAGAAAATCGCAGATCTGCGCCGTCTTGTTTCCGTTTGGAGTACGAAGTGCCTCACTTTGTTATTATAATTATTTATTGATAAAAATATTTGTTAATTGAGCAATCTGCAGTTCATGTAATCATTAAAGTCAACATAACATTTAATCCTGTCTGTGTCTTTTTTGTTGTTTCAGATCCATACTCGTTGTCGCATCTCGGTGAGTTTCCCATTTGCATGCACAACAAAATTATTTGTTTTGCTCTAATCTTTATCATCATTTAGCTTCATTTATTTTATCTGGCTTTTTTCAACAAGTATAATTAATACACCTACCTAACTAACCTCCACTTAACTAAACCCAACTGAAATTTAATGAATAAATTATATAATAATATGCTATTTATGATCTTGCTTTGCATGGAAAGTCGTACGCTTTTAGACAGAAGGTGTGCTGAACTTCGCTTCGCGTAGAAGGTTATATAGGCGTATGATACTAAAATTGCACTTTAACTCTAAATATCTCAAAAAGTAAAAGAGAATGCCATTTAATTGTTAAGGTAAAGTTACTCAGGATGATGACCTTGACAACATATGGTCAAGGTCGTCGGGAGTGAGTCCCTTGTAATAAATAATTACCGATTCCCTACATACTCCTGAAGTTTTGATATTTAAATTCGGTACACTTTTTGTATAAAAAGTATATAAAGGAATCTTATTACAGAAAATATATACATTTTAAATTTATATAGGTAGCATGAAAAATATTACTATTTTTTAAAGTATATATATATTGTAAAGTATTGTTACATTTATCATCTTTTCTCTTTACATTAAAACTTTTATCTCAAACGTTTTTTTTAATATTTCGCTTGTAATGAATTTAGGAATTCCAGTATATACTTGTTTTCCATTTTTTTTACATAAGTTTATGTGCAATTTGTTTTCCTAAAAAACATTGCAGCCATTGAATTTCATAAACGCGCAGTCCTGAATTTTTAATTAATGTAATTTTTCGTAAATGACGAAATTAACTGCAACGAATTCAATTGCGAACTGATTGATAAAACGTGATTGTGGAAAAAAAATGCAATTATGCATATCATCTGTCACTTATCTGCTGAGACTGAATGAAATTTGTTGCACTAGTAATTTAGTCTTGTGTAAGAGCGAGCTTTTTTTTTAAAAACCAAAGAAAAAAGGGACTACAAACTAAAAATTATTAAAATAAATCGTCAAAATATAAAAGTTGAACAAAAATAAAAGAAACAAATATGTTATTAAATAAAAATTTAATATGCTAGCAGTAAACAAACGTATCGATCACGCTCGGATCATTTTCAATGTTAAAAACATATATATTTATTATAGTCGGTAAAAACGAAAGATAATAAAATTTCCTATTTTGCTCTCTAAAACAGACGCTGGTAACGTGAAAACGAATATTATAATGTTCGCAATTATAATATTAATCATTATTACTTATCATCGCTTTATTGCAAATTTTTTTTTTCAGCGTGTATCCGATGAAAATAGACGGATTATAAAAAGTCGAAAGTATTCTCAAATCGTTAATGTCACAGAGAAAAAGCAGGTCATCTGATTGAATTCGAATACCTTCGTATCTTCCCGAGTGATTTTCCATTGATATCGAAAAATTGATATTTTATAACTTCTTATTATATATTTAAATAATATTTTATTGAACTCTCAGATATGTATATATATATATATATATAAAACAATTTAAACTCACAGTACAAGCAAATAAGAATAATACTTCGCAGTTATTGTGCGCTAAATTAATAATATAATTTTCTATTACATACGACGTATTTGTTCGAAAATTTCGTCTTCTTGCGAGCCATCTTCAACGAAATAATTTTCGAGTGTTTGAGCGTGTTTGAGTTCCTGATTATAGACAAAGTTTCCATAAATATATGCCGAATGAGCCTCCTCCAAGTTCCTAGGGCGCGATTCTGTAACTGCCTTTACACGCCTACCGACAGTTGTCGGTGTCGTTGCGCAGATATTTTATATGGTGAAAAAGCTGCGCAACGACACCGACAACTGTCGGTAGGAGAATAAAACAATTACCCCTGGAAGTGCGCGAGTTCGTATTTCTTGATCTTTTTTTTGTCATGTACGTGTGTATTTACCTTCAATTTAATATTAATTAGTCTGATCTTTAATTTTTGTCCGCGTCAAGTATCATATCAAATTTCTGACCGACTTCTGACAGATTTCAGACAATAATTATTTAATGATAATTAATACTGCTTATCATTTATTAAACGACATTAAAACTTATTTTTATTATTAATTTATTATGTACTTTAAAGTACATAATAATAATAAGTTGGTATCAATTAGATGAGAATATGAAATTGAAGCCCGAGTTTTCGGCGTTGATTGGCGCTTCGATCGCAGTAGAGGTCAGACCATGGCAATTTGCGGTCATATCATGATCGTTATCGAATGAAAGCAATGCGAAAATAGATCACAGAAGTACTACTCAATTGCTTTTGAAACACGAAACACTTTCCTTTAATTGTTTGTGTTTGCATTAGTTTCAAGCTACTTAAGCTATCTAAACTTTTTCTTAAATATTGCATTTTATCTTTCTAAACATTATATTTTATTTCTTTGTCAAAAAATTCACTAGGGAATCGACGTGATGTAGAATTTATAACGAATAATTTTTATCCTGTATTTTTATTATATGACGTGACTAAATGCATTATTTATTATAAAAGAATATGCTAATTGGACATTTTTTATGTCTATAAAAAAGAAGTTAGATCCCAAATAACAAAGTTTGTCATTTTGACGTCATATTTTAGGCTTTTACTGACCATTACTGACGTCCTAATAAAGTCAAATTGACGTTTGAATGTCACAGACGATTGATGTCATCGTGAGCCGTCATTTTGAGTCGTTATATTTTGGTCTTTTATTGGCCATTATACTAACTGGCGACTTATGACGTCAATGTGACATCACGGAAATGACATCAGTATGATTTTCAGTCACGGAATGTCGTCGAATAAAAACCTATAGTCACTTTTTGGTCACTTGACGTCATTTGTACAAATATGACTTGAAAATGACGAACTTTGCTACCTGGGATGACATTCCTAAGCTCTCTTAAGATATAGAGACCCTTTAATCAGAGACTGGCCATGAAATAACAATTTACTGGTCCAATGATTCTTCGTCAAATCGAATTAGTCAGAGATAAAATTTTTTTTTTTTTCTTGTACTAGAGTTAGAACGAGAGAGCATATATCTTTTACGCTATTGCAGAGCTAAAACATATATTTTCTTATCTGAACGATTTTAACGAAAAATGTCAGATCTTTCGTTGTGGCCAAACTCTGATTACATTGAAAAAATAGTCTTAATATTTGCAAATAAACATTTTCTTCAACATTTATTGATTATAAAAATAATATATAGTGATCAAAATTGAATAAAGATTTTACTATGATGACAAAATATACATTTTTGTAAAATGTCTCATTAATTATAAATAAAATGAAACAGATGGTTTATTTGCTAAAAATAAAATATTATTTCACCGTATTTAAATAAGAATCTATTTCAGTAAAATAAATATTATATCTCACAAATAAGTTTTTAAGTACCTTTTTCTTCGTGTAGAAGATCTCTACTCCGATACAAGAATAAATTACGAAATAATTAGGAAATAATTGGATTTTTTTATATTTACAACACAATAACTTTTATTGCAATTAATATGTTACATTTGTTACAATATGTTTAAAATAAGAAAAATTGATACATGTTTTTCTAAAAAAAAATTTCGCTTTTTGAAGCATTATTGATTTAACAAAATGATCTAGATATGTAATGTTCAAGACTTTAAGTTGATGAGCTTAAAGAAGCCACTAACTAATATTTCCTTTATTTAATCATTTTTTTGTTCGCATCAAGGAACTATAGCGACACAGTGTGTGCACATTATTTTTTGTACTATTTTATTGATTTATTGAAACTGCGTGTTCTAAAGAAAATTGTTTAATTTATTCATTCTTTACTCCATCGGAATCAAGAGAACTCGGAACAAAATTGAAAGTCTCTACAGAGAATAATCGAGGTGATCGAGTCATGTGGTCCGCTTTGTGTAATAGATACCGCTACGTCAAACTCTAGTCGCGCTTTAATGACAGATATACTGCGTATACATTTCGATATACGACAAAGGATCGAGTTAGAATAGAGGAAGACGCAAATAATAACACGTGGGGGACACTTGCGCCTTGACGATACCGCCGGAACTTCAATTGTACCAATCGCGAGACTCAGCATAATAACTCGGTTGTTTATCCATATGTGCACTTGCATTGACGACATTGACGTAGACAGGCGCAATTACGAGAGCTCGCAATCGTCTGGATTACATTACGCGTGTCTGTCATTGCGAAAATTTTCGTTAACAAAATTCGTTCGGCACACGTCAGAATTTAAGCGCGTTGCGGCCACTAGAAACGGCGCAATGGAACGTTACGTCACGGTGCGAAATCGTTTCCACCATGTGAAAAGCAGAAATGTCCTTGGAATCATTTCATCTCTACAAAAGAACGCAGAATGAATTAAGATCATTCAAACTATATATCTTTCAAGATAGTTTCTTGTGTAAATGGATTCCTACGCACTTCTATTGCAAGACATTTTTAGTGAAAATTTTTCTGAACTGCATTCCAAAATTATACAAGCATTTAAAATCCAGCTAGATCGTTAATGGCATTTATCTACTGTTGGTTGTGTACTCGCACGTATACAATCTTATGAGATTCTTAGTTTAATACATTCCAAAACGTCCTCTTCGAGAAAAACACTTGAACATTTTGGAATGTAACCTTTACTTTATCATCGCCTTTTCCGAATAACGTTAACGGTCTCCTGAAAACGCTATTCTTTCACCTAACAACTTTAATCGATAGATTTGATGAAAATTAGCTAATCTTTAGAAGATTGCTCCGTTGTTACATTTGTCAGGAACTGTTTAATCAAAAACATAGGACTATAATTATTGTCATCGTAAAGTTAAATATGAAATATTGATTTGATATCTTGGAAAGAAAACGCTTTGGAAAAAAAACGGTCTGTTTTTTTCTAAAAAAAAAAAAAAAGGTTCTAAAAAATAACCTTAAGCCGGTATTTATAGTTAATCCATTCTTATTTTAAGATCATCTT